TCCAATGATAAAGTGTAGGCATCCCCATGTTTCCGCCTCAAATGGCGACGCTCTTTTCCAGCGGCAGACACACAGATTTGACAATCACGTCTGAAAGGAATATGCCCCCTTAGGCAATGGTCACGGAAAGCTCGCTCCTCAGCTGTCAACCTCCGTAACGTCCCTTCTCGTTCTTCCTTTTTTAACACCATAGCTTCCCGTTCAGCATCGCTCTCATGCAACCATTGTGCCAACCTGTGACGTATTCTTTTAACCAATCCAAACGCCCATCGCGCCCATACGGAGGATTGTCCAATACGCTCTTCCAGGGTAGAAGCGAATGTTGCTGACCACGGAACAACCACGCGAACTTGTTCCAACGATTCCCATAGTTCCATATCAGACACCAGGAAAGTCGTAGGTTTCACCAGAGCATGTCCCAACGCTCCTTGATCAAAATGTGCAGCGTACATTCCATAACGCTCACAAAAGCTTTTAACCTCTGGCCAACTCCAGAAGGTAGGACTTGAGAGCCCTTCCTGAGAACCATCCACCAGATCCTCAGCACTCAAGACCGTTTTGCCGTTCTGAGAGAAATCTTTCCCTATGAGTTCAGGGTCCCCAGGGCTTTCCATGCCAAAGAAGACAGAACTCCATTGATGACTTCAGCAGTTCCACACCTTGAATGCACCGCCACGTCATATAGGAAAAGCATCTTCAGAAGTAAAACACCATCCTTTTGAGCTAATTCTTGATGTGGCCAAGGAAGACTCTTTAATCCCAACCGTTCAGGCCCACAGCGCCGGCGTAATACAGGTGGACCACCGTCTTCACCTCTCAACCTTGACACTGTCCTGCATGGAGGTCCTCCAACCACAGCAACCACCTTTCCTTCAGCCGCCAGATGCAGAAGATACTTCCAGACGCTCGAATTATGTAGGTCACCGCCTTTTGTCAAATCCAGCTCCAGTACCTCCACATCCCGACTGGGAAAATGCCATTTTTGTTTTCCCGAAAATAGGTGTACCACCACCCTTTTTGCTCGTGCCAGCCGTCTCCTTTTATGACGGTTGAAAGGCAACGCCGCAATATCTCCACGTGGCAACAGCTCCATCAGCATATTTTCTGGTATATCCCCATAATACCACCGAAGAAATCTCCAGCATGCCTGGACGAACTCCTCCTCATTCGCTGACGCTGTCCGCGCTGCGCTTTGCAACGACGTTTTTACAGCCACCTCGTTGTCCGTATTCGGACACCCTTGAACCATACGTGCCACCTTCAAAGCTTGCTTTGGTGAGCACCAATCCATTTCATCAATGATCTGAAGCGCCACCTCCTTTTCCAAACAAGGGCACCCATTCAGATCACGAACGCGAAGTTCCCCCAGAACAGGATGTGAGGCTGTGCACTTGCCACCACGCCACTGAACTCTGAGACCAACCAAGGCGCTCGCTTTGCCAATTGGCACTAGTGGATCTACCATTTCAGGAGTTACCAGGGTCCCACCTGGGGTAATACACATCTCCCGAGATCCAACAGCTAAAGACACCAACACCTTTTGCTGCGGAAGCTGTTCTCCAGGACGAAGTGATCTGAGAGGATGCGATGCTCCCGAGTCCAACATGCCCATTCCCGAACACTCATTGGTGTCAGAAACCCTGGCCACATGTAGAACGCATACTCCTCGGCCTTCTCCCTGCTTCGGCAACAACGTGGCATCCGACGAACCGACTCCACAGTCTGCCCTTCCATTCCTCCATTGAGAATGGGACCAAGACGCACGCTGCCTTTCAGCATGCAAAACCATTTTTTCAGCTGTTTTATAATCCATAACCAAACAGCCATGTTCAAACCACAAGAGCTGGTCCAGCGAAGATTTTGCACCCATGTGACACGTTCCATTGATCACAGTGAGGTTCGCCCCAAACTCCAAAATCAACCAGAGAGGGATAATCAGGGGCCCATTGTCTTCCCTAATCAACGTCCCTTTCTCTGTAATCCTCATTGTCACACCACCAAGCGCGCTTTGCACCATAACAGTAGTGTCTGGTAAACATTCCCATGGAAAAAGCGTCCGCACAAGATGCGTAGCAGCTGTATCCACCAACGCCACTCTCCCTTCCTGCTGAAGCAGCCCAGAGCCACATAACATTCGAATACTGGGATCCCCGTTTGATGCCGACTGTTCTGATGACAGCTTCATAGATTTCAGCACTTCTAACGCTTCAACAAGGACCTGATTGGCCGTTGATGGCGATGAGGGACTTGCAGAACCTTTATCCAATCCCGCATTAGCCGTCTCATCTCCCCCTTCAGCTACCTCTGCCTTTTTGGCATTTCCCCATTTCGCACCTTTGCCGCCCTTTCCCCCTTTGGGAGAATTCCCTTTAGATCTACTCCTCTCAGGATTTGAGTCCACATTGGAACTTGCACCATCCTTATATGGACATTGCGGCTGCAGATGGCCAACGGCCCCACACTCAAAACATCTTCCTCGCTCAAGGGAGTCTTTGTCATGGCGAAATTTGCAGCGGGATCCGAACTTGCAACCTGCATCGGTCTTCCCATATATCCAACAGAAAGGACGTTCACCATCTCCGCTGTACCTTTTTCCTTTCCCTTTGCCTTTGTCACCCTCCTCTGTCTCGTCACCAGTTCCCTTTTGGGCCTTGTTTAACCTGGCCCTTTTCTTGGCGTCCGAGTCCTGCTTCACCTCTTGTTCACCAGCACTATGCAATAGCAGTTCAAACTCTGCCTGTAACATTTCAGCTAGTTTTGTCGCAGTTTCAGAGGTCGGCGAGTAGTCCACCCCCAATTTCTCCCGAAAGGATGCCACTCTGAAATGAACCGTAGGGTGTTTTGCCAGCAATGCGGATGATAAACCATCCAATCCCTTGATAAGCAAGGTAGCGTCCGGCTCGGCCGCTCTCAACTCCCTCAATCGGGAACGCCATTGCGCCCATTGACGCACTCCCTTTATGGCCTCTGAGATCGAGGTTGCTGGAGATGGTTGCACCAAGAAGTTCAACATTGTGCTGCGCTCATTTGCTCCACCTGGTTGGTAGACCGTCAGCAATTTGTAGAATATCATCACTGACCCCAACATTCGAGTGGAAACGATCTCGGTCTTCAATCTCTCCGGAATCGCCTGTAGCAGCAAAGACACCGCTCTCTGCTCCAACAAAACATGCACAGTTTGAACCACCTTGAGCCCTTCCAGCTCAGCCTTGATGCCCAACCTTTCCAGCGGAGAAACACTCAACCATTTGGCATACGCTTGATATGCCTTTGAGTAGACGCATTGCCACCACACTCTTCCTGTATCTGTCAGCGAAGACAACATTGGTTCGATCATTGCGATCCAATCACCCAGTGCCGTCGGATTGCTTGGTGTGTAGTCTGCCAAAGTTGGAAGGCTCATCACATGCTTCCCAAGAGCCTCCGGACGTTCGGTTCCAGAACTATCACCAATGATTGGCATACCACGTGGCACCACTGCTCCAGGAGGTAAACTGACCCTACCACCAGGCCCTTGAGGTAGTCCATGTCCTATACCGGGCGTAACAGCTGTGAGCGGAACCTTTTCTAATTCCAACTTCCCAGCGACCATTTTCCACCGATACGGAACATCATCCACCATTGTATATCCACCCGATCCTGCTGAGTTCTCTTGCGTTGCAGTTTCCCGAGCTCCCACAGGTGCGGCAGAACCATCAACACCTGACGGCACGGAAGTAATCGGAACATGTGTTAAACCAGGTGGTCCACTTGCATATCCACCACTTGCAGGACCTCCCGTGGGGTAATTCAATGGAGGCAATCTGGAGGGTTTCTTCCCTTCAGCTACATGCATCATTGGCACTTCTTTTTCATCCTCCACTTGAACATCCCCCTTCCTGGACCCAGGCAAGGATTGAAGATCACAACCCTTTGGCAGGTCGTAGCCCTCAATAGGCAGCCATGACCCATCCGGCAACACAGTCCAAAAACCACCCATACCATCCGTGTAGAAAACTTGTCCTGGCAGGTACTGCTTCTCTGGAGTCATTCCTAGAGGATATGCAGTGTTTGCGTCCACCACTCCAGAGCTCCGTGCCCTTGAAGCTGACCCAGATGCAGCAGAGGTATAGCTTTTCTCCTCCACCCGATGCAACCTGTTCCCCAGCTCCTTTGTTTGCACAAGCAACTCTTTCAGCGCACGCTTTACCACCGCCATATCTTCAGTTTGCTCTTCACCACTAACATCAGGAATGAGCTCTTCGTCGGCTTGCACTCCACCAATAGTACCTCGTTCCATTTGGCCCATTAAGCCTGACGATGGTCTCTCAACAGGTGCAGGTTCCTGACCCAAAAGATCTTGCAGCGAAGGCGGCCTCCTCGTACCTTCACCACTTCTATCCCCTCCGCTCGCAGGAAGACTTGCCGGCCTTGATTGCCTAAGTCTCATTTCTTCTTGAGCCCGCTCGCTCCAGAAAGGATTTGCTGCTTGAACCGGAACCACTTCGTTTTCCACCTGAGGCGTTGGTTGTATCATTGCAACCTCCCTACCATCTGTCAGCGCTTGTACCATTTGTTGTCGATCTTCACCCCCATCACCACGATTTCCTTCGGCTTCATTGGCCGTTGGCGACAGTCCAGGCTCAGAGCGACGCCGCATCATGTCCATGGCGTTAAACAAACGAAAAATCTTTACCAATTCCGCAGGAAGCCTAATTTGGGCTCATAACCTACGGGGGGCAACCGAAGGAGGACAGGGAACAAAACAGTCAACCCCAACAGAAGCCCTTGATCCCCTGGACCAACCAACACCAAACCAAACCCAAAAGACCAAGCACCCTTTTCTCTCTAAGTGCATTGTCATCTTGAGCCAAAAAAGATTTCCGGGTACGTTGACCCTTTCAACTCCCATCACCAACTCCTTTCTACAATACCAGTTGCAGCTCCGCACCCTAAACTCTAAACCCCAAACCCTGGAGTACAAGGGGACACTAACTCCTGTAGGCTTCAGTATGATGCGTTTACCTCACCCAGAATACCACTTTCCCTGTCCGGGACTGCTGCCGCGCCACATGTGCGCCGCCAACTTCAGTTCCAAACCACCATCCTGTTTTTCAGAGAGAAGGCTTTCATTGAGAGAACTCTGATTAAAGAAATAGACAACACACACACACACACACCCCAACAATAACGGTAAATGGACCATGTTCTATCCCAGACTGCCGGCTCTTCTAGCAGCTCACGAAGCTGGGGCATGGTCCTCGATCTTCGGCCTCTCCATCAATGGTGTCGTCCCAGAAGTAAAGAAACATTGAGTTCGATGAATTCTGGCCGTTCTCCTTGGCTTTCTCCTGGAAGTCATGACTGAGTCGTGCTGGGGACTACAAAGTCGCGACTTGAACCCTAACCCGCGCAGCCGCTTCTTGCAAGCAAGTGTTGCTTTGTTGGAAGCCCAAACCCTAAACCCTAAACCCGAAAATCAAAGAGTCTTGTCCTTGTCTTTGTCCGTTTCCGCCCGCTTGAAAACGTCGCGGCCATGGTGTGTCGATTCGCGGCAGTACCGGCCTGCCGCAGTTTGGGGTTCCTTGTATGGGCGAACTGGTACCTGTGCCTCTACTGGCTGTTTTGTCGGGCATTTTTTTTTTTTTTGGGGGGGGGGGGGGGGGGGCGCTATGCCATTTTTCGTTTATCTCGTTTATTCTGTTTTTTGGCCGGGGGTTTAGGGTTTAGGGCTTTTGGGGGCAGGAGTTTCAGATCTTATCTTGAATCTCAGAGGGCCTTCCACCATGTCCACCAAGTTTTTGTTCTGCGCGTCAACCACGGAAAGCACGACCTGCGCCTGAACAGTAGCCACCCCACAAATGGGGGTTGACGAAAATGAGGGACACCTGATATACACACCCAAATAGTAGGACCCCCCTTTTGAGAAGGACCCCGGTAAGGTACCCCTAATTTCGGAAACCCCCACATCAACAACAAGAACCTTCAAATCAGTGTCTAGAGTGTGATTCCCCGATGTGAGTGCTCCTTGGTACCACGCGATGCGTACTGCAACCAAAGTTTTCCGGCGGTATCAAGATGAGGCCTCCGCCCCAAAACACTCCCCCCACACCCGCCCCAACACCCAGATCCTAAGGATAAAGCCCTGAACTGTAGAAACTTCTGGGCAGGGAGCTTTTCTCCAAGTGGGAGTACTGCGGGAGCAAGGGCGCTCAGGAGAAGGGTAAGAGGGTACTTGGAGGTTCATTGTACTTCTTAACCAATGAAAACTGTACTTATAACTCTACTTATAACCATATTAGGGCACTTAAGGGGCTTACAAGTGGGTTGTAAGTACAGGTATAGTTGGTTAATAAGTACCCTAAACCCTAAACCCTAAACCCTAAACCCTAAACCCCTTGCAAGTGGGTTATAAGTACAGTTATGGTTCGTAAGTACCATGAACCTCCAAGGTACAGGGGCAACATGCAGCCACTCTAAGCCCTAAGCCCTAAGCCCTAAGCCCTAAGCCCTAAGCCCTAAGCCCTAAGCCCTAAGCCCTAAGCCCCAAGCCCTAAGCCCTAAACATGCAGACAAGAAGCTCCAGTTTTGCAAGCCAAGGCCGTGGCCACTGACCCTTTCGGAGCCTCGGCCCACATCTTGGTGGTATCTTGAGGGATGTTGATGATCCAATCGCACGCCCATGCCTCATCCCCTAAACCCTAAACCCTAAACCCTAAACCCTAAACCCTAAACCCAAAGAGGCGAACTTGGGTCAACAAGGACCCTCTAGGGGGATAATTTTAGGGGAGCCATCTTCAGCCCACTGGGAGGTTCATGGAAAGTTACAAATAATGTCATAAGGGTTTAGGGTTTAGGGTTTAGGGTATAAGTACCCTAAATAAGGTCATAATGACAGCTGCCATAATTTTCGCCCTACCTAGACGTACCCATGGCCCTCCAAGCACAGAACTTAGGTCAACAAGGACCCTTTAACCCTAAACCCTAAACCCTAAGCCCTAAGCCCTAAGCCCTAAACCCTAAACCCTAAACCGTAAGCCCTAAACCATAGGGGGCCTTTGGGGGAGCCATCTTCAGCCGAGAGAGACTGGCTGGTTCTTAGTAGGGAACGAGGGAATGAGGTACCCTATCATACTCCCTTAAAGCCTATTTCTGAACCCCTAGTTCCCTCTCTTTCCCTACTAAGAACCAGGGTTTAGGGTTTAGGGTTTAGCCCTCTTCTCCACACACAAAATGGAGAAGCAACTGCCGACCTTGGTGGGGCCACTTTGGCTCCAGCATGGGATGAAGCTGCCGATCTAGAGGCTTTTAGGGTTTAGAGTTTAGGGTTGAGGGTTTAGGGTTGAGGGTCCCAAGTCATCACCAAAAACTCGTCTTGATTTCCCCCCAAAAAGAAGGTTTAGGGTTTAGGGTTTAGGGTTTAGGGTTTAGGGTTTAGGGTTTAGGGTTTAGGGTTTAGGGTTTAGGGTTTAGGGTTTAGGGTTTAGGGTTTAGGTGCAACCCCGTGGCTCGCTTGGGCGGTGGTGGTTTCTCCAACTTCGCCAGCTCTGTGCATGGACGCTTGGAGCTCGAGGCCGGCGATGCGCCTGAAAAAACTTCGCATGTAGGGTTTGGGGTTTAGGGTTTCGTGTGGGGTTTAGGGTTTAGGGTTTAGGGTTCAGGTTTTCAGCTCTGGCGCCCTATGGCCCTACTTGCACCTTGGTGTTGTCGAGGTCTTGACAAGCAAAGTGGGTTCTCTGGACACTTCATGCTGCCCGTCACCCAGCAAACGCCGAACAGTGGCCCCATGCTCCCAAGCGAACTCGTTACGCTGTTAGGACGAACCGACTGCCTGGGAGGGATCAGAACCCTAAACCCTAAACCCTAAAGCCTACAAGCCCCTTTTGACATTCTCAAGTGAAGTGCTAGTAGCCTGCTCAATACCTGCCATTCTGATGATGATGTGGAGGATGAGGAGGGCGACAATAACTTTAAGCATCGTACTGGAAGTCAGCGGTTAAGCTCACCGAACCAAGCCAACCCAAGCCAAAATAGCCGAGCAAGCAGTCCCCGCAAGAGAACCGTGCAAGTTCTTGCCGTGCTGATGCACATGATGCAACCCCAGCCATGTGCAAACAAGCAAGCCGCAACGATCTGGCAGCGAAACCTCCACAAGACCCTTGCAGCCCCCAAACCCTAAACCCTAAACCCTAAACCCTAAACCCTAAACCCTGAACCCTAAACCCTAAACCCTAAACCCTAAACCCTAAATCCTAAACCCTAAACCCTAAACCCTAAACCCTAAACCCTAAACCCTTCACGCATGCAGCCTGCACCGGGCCATGCCGGCGCTGGCTTTTTCACTTCCGGCTTGGGCTGGGGGACGGCTTCCTCTTTGAGGAGGAGCACCTGGGTTTAGGGTTTAGGGTTTAGGGTTTAGGGTTTAGGGTTTAGGGTTTAGGGTTTAGGGCCTAGTCGAGTTTTGTAGGGAGCAGAGGGCAAGGTTTAGGGTTTAGGGTTTTAGGGGTTTAGGGGTTTAGGGGTTTAGGGGTTTAGGGGTTTAGGGGTTTAGGGGTTGAGCAGTTTAGGGGTTTAGGGGTTTAGGGTTTGGAGTTTAGGGTTTGAAGGGTTTAGATTTGAAGGGTTTGGGGTTTAGGGTTTAGGGTTGAGGGTTTCCCCCCCACAAAAAACTACTTTCGAAAACCTCGAAGGTGCCTTAATCCCTAAACCCTAAACCCTAAACCCTTAACCCTTTTTGCAGCTGGGACTTGGTGACTGCCAGAAAGGAACCCCCAAACCCTAAACCCTAAACCCTAAACCCTAAACCCTAAACCCTAAACCCTAAACCCTAAACCCTAAACCCTATTTTCGAAAACCTCGAAGGTGCCTGGCTCTCCAGCGGTCCCAGGATGCTTTTTGCAGTCTTCGCGAGGCCGCGCAGAGTTGCTTGTGGGCGTGGCGCTTCCTCGGGCTGCTTGGGGTTTGGGGTTTCGGGTTTGGGGTTTAGGGCTCAGGGTTTAGGGTTTGAGGGTTTGAGGTTTTTTGTGCCGCCCGACTAGCCACAGCACTGCGGGGGTCGATGTTGCGGAAATGGTTTGAGGTTTAGGGTTTGGGGTTTAGGGTTTATGTAGGGGTTCTTCTAGAACCGCTTAGAGGGATAAGAGCTGACATGGGATTTCTGGCAGAAAACTCGTGGAAAAGGGTTTCCTGATTCCTTTCGACCATCTGTGCTATTTGGTCTAGGCCGTCATGCATTTCATCTATTTTCCGTACATTCGTGATCCGGCTTCGCTACAGGTAGCACAAGACTCAGCCAAGGCATGCGCAGAGACTCCAATATCCCGTAGTTGGCAATGCTCTTTGAGTCACACTAGCATCCCTATAACAACCGAAGCAATCTTGCTGAATATTGCCTAGTTAAGGGATGTTGGAGTCTCGGGGTGTAGGGTTTAGGGTTTTTTGGGTGAACCCAGTTGCAGCTTGGACGGTGTCTCCACCGGCCCACGTCGTCTTCCGGCTCCTTCGGCATTCGGCAGACCGCGAGGGTGGGGCTTGCAGTTTGTCTAAACCCTCAACCCTAAACCCTAAACCCTAAACCCTATACCCAAAACCGCCTAAATCCTAAACCCTAAACCCTAAACCCTAAACCCTAAACCCTAAACCCTCAGTAGGGTAAATAGGAAGCCCCGAAAACCCCTTCGCAGGCTACAAGAGTCGGGATACACAGGCTCGGGAGCTGCTT